TATCCAGAAGGAGGAAGAGAGAAAGGAAGAGAAGGAGAGAGAGGAAGAGAGAAGAGAGAGAGCGGAGGGAGGGGTGAAGGTAGTGGTGGTGGTGGTGGTGGTGGTGGTGGTGGTGGTGGTGGTGGATTATTGTGGAAGGGGATTGCGGATTCAACATACGTTGGGTGGACAAGAGGATGCAAGATTCAAACCTCAAAGCATGGATGCAATCGCTGAGATCGGGACAGCTCTGCCCAGGAAGATCGAGTATAGGCTTGTTTTTTCCCTCTAGGAAAAAAAAAGGGAAAGAATAATAGTAGCCGTAATATAATATGGGAAAAGAAGAAAAAGAAAAAGATAAAAGTGTGAAGTGAGAAGGATGAAGATTGATAGTCCTTCGTCGGTCCCAAAAAAAGATAACCGGAACTCGAGATAATAATAAGAATGGGATATAAAAAAAAATAATAGTCAAGAAAAAAAAAAAAGAATCAAAAGAAGAATAAAACTGCCCTTTTTACCCTCTTTGGTTTCTGATTTGGCCCTGGTTGGAATTTCGTTTTTAGTTAATTTTCTTTTCTTTTTTTTTTTTCCTCTTTGCTTTTCTCCTTCTTGACTCCCCTCTCCCTCGGAAGTTTTTCTGGTTCTTCAGAAAAAGAACCCTGGTCTTCGGCTTTTTCTTTTCTTTTTCTTTTTTTGCTTTTCCTTTTCCCGAATGGGGGGGAGAGGAGGGACAGCTGGCGGGCAAAGGAACAGGAAAACCAACCCTTGGATCAGAGAACAAGTGGGAAGGGAGAAGTGGGCGGCGGGTACTCTTATTTGGGACCGCCGCTCCTCCAGTATCCAAAGCGAGCGAGGGAGAGAACCAACTCAAGAGAGTGAAGTGAACACACCCCTCAATAGGAGACGAAATCAAAATCCAAATCAAAAAAAGAACAACCACCGGTAAGAGAGTGAGGGATGGTAGGAGTCGTCGTATCGAGAACGAGGGAGAGTCAGTACGAAGGACGTCCTTCTTCTGCTGCTGCTGCTGTGTTGGAGGGGAAAAAGGCGGGCTGGAGAGGCAGTCAGTCAACTGAGTTGGAGTTGGCTGGTGGGAAGAAAAGACCCCCCAAAGTCACGCCCGTCACGTGGTTGCGTCACCGGTGTGGATGCCCTGCAGAATTCCAGCATTATGTATTATCATTATTATTATTTTCCCAAATATTTTCATATTATTGCGATGAGAATGCCAAACCCCATTCTACACCCTCAGACGGGCCCTGGGAAACTACAGGATAGTAAAACAGTCCATGTCAGAGATCCTGATGCATCCGATCCCAGAGCATCCTCCCGGATCGACTCTCGATAGTCCGGAGTAGTGACAGGACTGGGTTCCAATTATAAATCAATCCATCGGAACAAGCTTATCGTCCCGTTCTAGAAAAGGATTATATGGATCATATACAATACACTATAGATCGATCTCTGATTTTCAAAACCAACAACCAATGCGTCTCAGCATCTCTGCCGTGGTGAACAATCATCCCATATGCTACTTCGATGCGATTCCTTCCCCACCGGCGGAGAGCATGCAATCCATCGTGTGGGCGGAATGAGACACCCTAGGGAGTTTCCTGGCCGATCATTGTGACCACGTAGGGTTTGCCAGGGTCATCTCATCAAATAACTCTCCATTCTACTATTCCTACTACTACTCTGTAATTTCCCGGCGATTTCCCTAGGTCGATAGTTCTATTCGGATTAAATTGCATCATCCTTCCTCATCTTACTCGTCTTACCTGTCTTACTCGGCATGGACCGTCAGCCTTAATTAATCATTCGGGTCTTTAGCTCCGGCCCTCCTTGCAGACCCGGAATCCTAGCCACTGGGTTTTATGCTTATATTGCGCCTCGCGGATTGGATGGGACTGGCCCCCCTGGCCACTCACCTCTCGAGCCTTGAAGAATTCCAACAACAATGACACCATACATACTGTTTGTGCTCTTTATAGGGCTTACCTAGGGAGCCTACTTACATCCCGGAACCTCCTCGTATGGTATCACCGTACATGGATCGACCAGGTCCGGTACGCCTCTGCACATCCATACCCCTCCGGGTTGGCATTTTTTTGCCTTCGCCCCTCCGGCGCACTGAAATAGCACAGCAGAGGGGAGAAAAATTCATTTAAATACCGGATGATCCCTCATCAACCCCACCACGATCATCTTCCCAAATGTTCCATTACGTATTGACCTGCATCTCCTCTTTCACCGTCCGTCATGTTACAACTGCCGCCGCCCTCGCTAAACGCATGCATGATCTGAGAAGCAATCCGCTGCCCTTCAGCCCATTACGTCAGGCCATCCGGGGTTCCCAACCTCTGTCCCCAGCAGCAACAAAAGTACATTGCGGACAATGTGTACCTGTACAATGCCCTTCTTCCTGCCGGTAGATTTGTCGCCCGGTCACTGGTCATGTCTTGCACCGTTTCCACCCATGCTCAACCCCTTTGCTTGCAGGATCCGTGATGTGTCCCCGGCGGGAGATCGAACGGTGGATTGCTGTCTCTGGACGAGGAACCCATCGGAAAACTTTTCGTTCCTCCCTTCCCCATCACAAGCAGCAAGCCCAGTAAGAACGAACAGGAGTTGTCAAAATAAGGGAGATCTTCTCCATCTTAAGGTGTTCCGGAGCAAATTCCATGGTTATTCCTTATCAAACCCTTGGAACGGAGAGCGAGCATGATGTTTAAGGGTATGGATTGCTCGTGGTCCATCCCAGCACATCCATGGATGGTCTCGGGAGAGACGTACCTGGAAAAACCGGTATCCGTAACTAGGTAAAGGTAAGGTTAGGTAATCACCGTAGTGAAATTTTGCTCTCGCGGTTCCGCTCACCGCCTGCTTCTTTCTGCACTCCGTCTCCTTCTGCCCCTCCACGACGCGCCAGATCGCGCCCATCGTGTTGTTTTCGCATCATTATTATCGACTGGGACAAAGGTGCCCTGGTGACTGTCCCCGTTGGCGGTAATTGTATGATCTTCTGAACTCTCTCCTTCAATCAATTCGTGAATCTCTCGCCCGTTGGTCCAACCGCCTTCCACCATGGAGCAAGAGCTCCTCTCCCTCCTCGCCGACACCCAGTCGCCTGTCGGTGACACCAGAAAGGCCGCCGAACTGCAACTGGTGCGCCTCTACTCGAACGAAAACTTCCCCCTCTCCCTGGCGGCGATTGCTTCTCATGACTCCGTCCCCGTCAACCTCCGCCAGTCCGCCCTCTCCGTCCTGCGGACCTTCATTGCTGCCGCATGGTCCCCGCATCTCGACGAGTTCAAGGGCCAGGTCCTGGTGAACGACGCCAACAAGGCTCAGATCCGCCGAGTGCTCCTCGATCTCGCCACCGTCACCGACACCCCCGAACGCAAGGTCAAGGCGTCCGCCAGCTATGCCGTCAGCAAAATCGCCAGCGCCGATTTCCCGGAGCAATGGCCTGAGCTGTTGCCGGCCCTCCTCCAGATCATCAACGATGCGAACAGCTCCGCGGGCGCGTTGCACGGTGCCTTGAAGGTGCTCTTGGATCTTGTCGACACGGGGTTCAACGAGGAGCAGTTCTTCAATGTCGCCAGGGATCTCGTCACCTCCCTCTTTAACGTCGCCAACAACCAGTCGAGGAAGCCCATGCTGAGAGCGCTGGCCGTGTCTGTCTTCCGCGCCTGCTTTGACACTCTGGAGATGGTGCTGGAACAGCACAAATCTGCCGTCAAGCAATTCATGGATGAAGTTCTTGGGGGCTGGTTTCCTCTCTTCATCTCCACCCTGGAAGCTCCCCTGCCGCAGCCTCCCAATGAAGACGAGGAATCCAAGGAGACCGAGATCGCATCGCAATGGAGAGGTGCGATTGCGCTGAAGCTCCAGGTGGTCAAGGTATAATTTTGTCGTTACTTTGGTCGGTTCAACGACATGCTAATCTGTCTCTACCTGGTAGACTTTGATGAAGATCCGAATGATCTTCCCGGCCCTGATGACCGCGCAGAGTCCGGTGTATTTCTCGACGATTTGGACCGAGCTCTCCAACATCCAAACCGCGTATCACGCCTTTTACATCAATGATGAGAGACAGGGTCGCTTGCAGGACGTGGACGGTCTGCCGTACACCCTCGACTTCCTGGTTCTGGAGGAATTGGACATTATTCAGACCCTTTTGAAGGCCCCTCCTGTCAAAGCGGAACTGCAGCAGCAATTACAGAACGCCGGCCAGACAGTGACCACCACTAGCTGGCTGCCCGAAATCCTCAAGCTGGCTGGGTCGTACGCTCAGATCACCACCGAAGAAGAGGGCCTGTGGGATATCGACGTCAATCTGTTCCTGTCCGAAGAGACCTCGGTCACCGCGAACTACACTCCTCGCACATGCAGCGGTGACCTCGTCATCAAACTCGGGGAATGGCTCAAGACTACTGCCGTCGAGGGCTTACTCGTCTACCTGAATGCCGTCTTTGCCGATTCCTCTGCTACGTACGAACCTCCCTCCTGGCATGGTCAAGTGGAAGTGGCTAACTAGTCGTCTAGGTGGAAATCTCGTGAATCCGCCCTGTTCATTCTGAACCAACTCCTGCGCGACTTCAGCGAAGTGTCGCAGAACATCTCCCCCGAACTGGCCAACGCATTTAGCAGTCTGATTCAGTATGCGCTGCAGCAGGAGCAAGAATTACTGCGTGCTCGTGGCTACCTCGTCGCTGGCGTCCTGGCTCAAGTTGCGGGTGAATCGTTCAGCTCCACCGCTGTTTCTTACCTGGAAGCCACCCTCAAGGCGCTGTCTGAAGACCCTGCGGAGGTAGTCAAAGTGGCCTGCATCCGCGCCCTCCAGGATCTCATGCCTTGCCTCCCTTCCAGTGCCACCATCCCCTTGCAAGAATCAGTCATCGCTGCCATCTCGGAATTTGTCTCTGCGCATGACCTGCGGGATTCCGCCGACAACGATGATCTGAAGGTCACTCTTGCGGAGACCCTGCGTGACGCCATCATGGTCAACCCCAGCATTGTCCTGTCGTCCATCGCCATTGACGTCCTCTTCAACATTGCCAGCAATGGCGCCACCAACTTCCAGCTGACCATGATCGTCACCGAGGCATTCGAAGATATTGTGGAGGCGGTCGCTGATCAGGGTGCCGACTCATTTGTTCGTCTCTGTGAGAAGGTGCTTCCTTCGCTGATGGGCGCCATTGATGTCGGAAACCTCACGCAGGAGAATGCGCTGACCAACTTCGCTGCGGATCTCCTGCGGGCGCTGGCCGAGAGAGCCCATGAGCCTCTTCCCGCCGGGTTTGTGGAGACTGTGATGCCCAAGCTCAACCGACTCTTGCTCGACTCGACCGATGGAGAGCTCATCCGCCCCGCCACCGAGGCTGTCCGCCATATCCTCGCCCACGACTTCAATCAGTTCGTCAATTGGCGCGACCCGCAGAGCGGTAAGGAGGCCACGGAAGTGGTCCTGGTCATCATTGACCGCCTGTTGGGCCCCGCTGTTGATGACAACGCCGCCACCGAGGTGGGACAGCTGGCCGCTGAGCTGGTCGAGAAAGCCGGATCGGAGCGTCTGGGACCGTACCTCCCGCAGCTCCTCCAGGCCGTTGCCCAGCGGCTGGCGACGGCGCAACAGGCGCAGTTCATCCAGAGCTTGATCCTGGTGTTTGCGCGACTGACGCTGATCAGCGCGCGCGAGGTCGTAGATTTCCTGGCGCAGGTGAACATCAACGGACAGAGCGGACTGCCGATCGTGATGAGCAAGTGGCTTGAGAACTCGGTCAACTTTGCCGGGTATGACGAGATCAAGCAGAACATCATCGCGCTGGCGACGCTGTACAACCTGGAGGATCCACGGCTGGCCCAGGTAGAAGTCAAGGGCGACCTGATCATCCAGGACACGGGGCGCATCAAGACGCGGTCTCAGACGCGCAGCAACCCGGACCGGTACACAACGGTGACGGCGCCGCTGAAGATCATCAAGGTGCTGGTGGAGGAGCTGGCGGCGGCGTCGGGCAGCAAGGAGATTGATGCGGCGACGGCGGCGGCGCTGGAGGAAGAAGGCAGCGACGACGACGACGAGTGGGAGGACCTGCCGAGCAACACGCTGGACTTGAGTCTGGGGGTGACGAAGCAGGAGCTCATGGCGTTTGGCGAGGGCGGGACGGAGGGGGTGTTTGGGGTGCGCAAGCGCGACGACGAAACACAGGGATTTTTGGTGGACTTTTTCCGCAATGCCTCGACCAAACCGGCGTTCCAGCAGCTATATGCGGCACTGACTCCGGCGGAAC